GTTAGTTGCAACATTCCAGGGTTGCTGAAATTAATAACACAGGATCCTCTGGGTACTTCAAATCATCTTGACTGTCAGTAAATATGTTCATGTTGATATTATTTGTCTTGCTGCTTCTTTTGACTGTTTGGCGCCTATGACTCTCTATGACTCAATAATACATAGGTTAGTGTATGCTCCATTCAGCTTTTTTTGTTTTTGTCAGTTTTTCTTTAATTAAAGAATTAATAAACTATTATGGCTCAGAACAATGTTTTGGTCTATTTTTTGCATCCTGTGGCAAGTAATGTGTAATAAGCAAGATAAAATACATTTAGGTGATTGTTTTCACAGAAAAAAATCCCTGTTGGGCTTTATTCTACGATAACAACCACCTGGATGTACTTTATTCCCTAATTATTAATGACATGCTGTAAATGCTGTTTACTTGCAATGCTGGGCGATTAGTTTGCATGAAAATGTGTTATCACAATAAGCATACAATGGGATTTATGGAATTGTGTTTAATGAGAGCTATTGGTGAATAAGCAATTTACAAACAAACATAATTTTAGTCAGTTTCTCATAATAAGTCAATAATGGTTATATCAAACAAATTATGCGAAACATTTTTACAATTTATTTAGGGAATTGTGAAATCATGTTGATGCTTGAGTGCCTATTTGTTCATTTTAATAGAAAAAAGCATGAGCATTTGAAGAATTTTTTTTTTTTACTTTTCATCCATCCATTAAAAGGATTTTCATAATTCAGAAACCATTGTTATTTGCGACACTGGTGGTCATTAAGTGAACTACAGTTGGCAACTAACTACTATTCTTTCTTTCATTCATTTTCTTGACTTAGTCCCTTTATTCATCAGGGGTCACCACAGCAGAATGAACCACCAACTTATCCAGCATATGTTTTACGCCGCGGACGCCTTTCCAGCTGCAATCCATCACTGGCAAACACAGATACACTCTCATTCATACTCAGTTCAGCTTACTTATAGCACATATTTATATTCACCTATAGCACATATCTTTGGACTGTGGGGGAAACCGGAGAACCCAGCCAAGGCTCGAACCAGAGACCTTCTTGCTGTGAGGCGACAACCCTACCCACTGCGCCACTGTTGTTTAGCATTTTAACACTCGTCCAGATGCCGTACACACTGCCGAGAGCAACTTTCAGACCAATATGTTAATGTGCTGCACGCTCTATTCTCAGTAACAAAATAAACACACAACAAAAACAATGATAAGGAGAAAACAGTGACTAAGGAGAAATCTGATCTTAGTGATCTTAGTCGGTTGTGGTTGCACAAGCTCTGCAATTCACTGGTATCATGTTAATAGATGATGTCATTGAAATTAAACTGTAAAGTTAGTCTGTTTATGCTAAGCCTATATTTGAAACTACAAGTTAAACAGATCTGGCAAAGTGGGAACATAATTTAAATGAATCCCTTTTTTGAATGACATTAACATTAGTGTAAAACAGATCTTTTAGAATTATGTAATGAAATGTAATGTGTATTTATTTAGCACATTTATTGTGTATGGCCATACACCCAAAGCGCTTCACAATCATGAGGGGAGTCTCTTTACACCACCACCAGTGTGCAGCATTTACTTGGATGATGCGACGGCAGCCACAGGACAACGGCGCCACAACTAATCAATTTTACAATGGTGTGCTCACCAGCTATTGGTGGAGTGAAGAGACAGTGACAAAGCCAATTCAGATGGGGATGATTCAGAGGCCATGATGGGTAAGGGCCTATTGAGGGACTTTGTCCAGGTCACCGGGGTTACACTCCTACTCTTTACGAGAAGTCCCATGGGATTTTTAATGACCACAGAGAGTCAGGACCTCGGTTTAACATCTCATCAGAAAGACAGCGCCCACTGACAGTGTAGTGTCCCCTTCACTTTTACTGGGGCATTAGGACTCACACAGACCTCAGGTTGAGCGCCCCCTGCTGGCCTCTCTAACACCACTTCCAACAGCAAGGTAGCTTTCCCATGTGGTCTCCCATCCAGGTACTGACCAGGCTCAGCCCTGCTTAGCTTCAGTGAGTAACCAGTCTTGGGCTGCAGGGTGATATGGCTATGGCTGTATTATGAACATCATAGCAACTCATTTCAGGTGATATTGAATGGAAGTGAGAATATCAGGAGCAAAACATAAGTCACATCTATTTAAAATGTCTTAACAAAATGCTGCAACATTAAAAACAACCTATAGGAAATTAGGGAAGGTCTTCTTTTTTGTAGATTATATTACAGATTGTTCACACTAAATTCCTATTGTAAACATATCAAATCTCAATTTTTAATTAGCGATATGGAATCTTAATGTTCGAATTTTTAACACCCAGATTCTGTATTTTCCATTAGATTTATCTCTGAAAAATATTGCTCTAACTTCAATGGAGAGATAATTCATTCAGCGTTCTGGTGATGCATAAATCTCAATTTCAAAAAATCGACACTTATGACATGGCCATTACATACTCAGCATAATTGAGTACACCCCATTTTGTAAATGCAAAATGTTAAATTTTTATACATTTCTCAGTAAATATAGGGAATGTATTTTGGTGCATTTAAACAAAACAGATTTGTTAAACAGATATTTTTATTAAAATACAATTTTAGTCACCAAACATATTTGGAAATTAAGAGATATTACAATTAAATTCAAGCAAAATATTGCAAAAAAAAAAAATACAAACTACATAATTTCAACAAAATTTTTCAAAAATTTTTCTTATTTTTTTAATTTGTATTTAATATTTTTCTATAACATATAAATTTGGGTGTACTAGTTTTTGGATCATTATCGTAATTATCGTATTTTGTTAGATCAGCTCCATATTTGGTTTTAGTACTATCAAATGTAATGTATATGTGTAACCCTGCCGGTACTACACCACCCAACACACTCCAAGCTGGTGTCCAACCGGCATCCTTCCGCATGGAAGTCGGTTGCTCTAACAAGGAGGCTACAGACCATGGCCTCTAGCATCTGTCGCTAGAGCACCTTTAGAGGTCAGAGGAGTGGGGTTTACCTGCACAGCATCTACTAGCTGACCTCCGTTACATATGCACAAATATAATATTGTTTAGCTTCCTATTAAAAATATGAATTTAAAAGATCGATATGTGAGGGGTGTACTTATATATGCTGAGCACTGTATATTAATAAAAGGCTAGACTAAATTTGTTCATCATCATCAACATCATTATGTCTCTTCAGAAGGCCTGATTTATATGGACTGCTTTTATGCTATAAATATTTTATCTTAATTGAAAATTTAAATGACTTGATTGACTTTATTGACCCTTTTTCTCTCCTGATTAGAAACTAACAAAGTTTTAAAATTACAAAATACAGAATTTAACAAAAGTCTAAAATTTCCTATTTCTCAGTGAAATGTCAAGGTTCTTACATTAGTAAACTACACAATCAGGAATATTGTGAAGGTAAAAGATTTCCCCATGAAGGTTTTGCAATGGGAAAAAGTTAGTCACCAGGAACCACATTAACCAACAAAAACCTGTTTGGTTTCCAGTGACCTCTTAGTGAAATGTGCCTAATACATTGCTACTCCATTAACAATAGACAACCAATCTTTTTTTACCAGAGACCTTTGCTAAAACTTCACTACTATGACCTTGAAGAACACGAGGCTGAGTGAAAAATGACTGAGCATTTCTTTTTTTGGGTGTGCTATCTTTTCAAGTAAACAAATGAGACAGACAGTTGCTATAAAGCTGGGCAGGATGAGTCAAATAAATATCTAGTCAGTAAAAAAAATACACATCCATATCATCGCATCTCTCAAACACAGAATCAGCTTCGTTTGCTTACTAAGCACTACAGGCTTTCAGCAATGTTTTTGACTGCTGCTGACTAAATTGGGATATCAATATTGCGTGACACCAGGTGTCACATTTGGAGAAGTTTCACTCACATGAGAAATGATATTTTCACACTGAGTGACGCTTCAGATATTACAGTAATATACCTGTGTTAGTGCCAAAGCCTTAGAGAGCCAAATATGCGCATTTCTAGCATCCCCATGACCAGCAACACTCATACACCAACCCCTGAAACAGCAGCACGTGAAATAGTGAAAAACCAGTGTCTCTCAATTTGTCTTACTCATATCCATACCCTCCTCCAGAAGCAATCTCCCCTTTCTCTCTTGCTCTCTCTCTCTCAGAGAACAGAGGATCTCTTTCTTTGGTGTGGATCCTCAGATAAGATTTTGGTGGGCTCAGTGATCTTGCTGAACAGGAAGTCTAACAGCACTGATGAAATGTAAGGGTTGCCGAGGTCACAATGACTCCTTACGAACATCTTGACTCTTGTGATTCAACCACAGACAGAAGGCACGTCCACATTTTTAAAAACATAGATCTATGACTTAGGAATATTTTTAGACTTCTTTTTGTTCTGGGTGACTAAGCAAGAGCCAAGGTTACATATCTAGGAACATTTTTGGAATTTCCGAAAAGCAAACAAAAAGTACATGTCAGCTGTACTAATACTTAACCGTAAATCAGACCAAGTTTTACATATTAATACTAAAAATACTACAGTACATTACTGCTATGACAATTTTGAGGGAAGATGTTTTATCATGATCAGTTATTAGTTTAGTTTTTTTTGCTTGATAGGTTTTTTCCTATGATATTTTTTTTTTCCTTCACATTGGTCAATTGGTGAAGTTTGTTCCTTGCCGCTGTCGTCGCTGGCTTGCATGGTTTGAGACTTGTGGAGCTGCACAATGATGGATTTGCTCTTCAGTGTTTGGACTTTCAGCATTGAAAATTACCCCACACTGTACTGAACTAAACTGAACTTAAACTCTGAAAACTGGACTGACACAGTTTCAATTTACTAGAACTTCTATGTTAAGCTGCTTTGACACAATCTACATTGTAAACGAGCTATAGAAATAAACATGAATTGAAATTACATAAGCCTCGAAAAGAAGGACTCACGTGTCACCGTCTTCATCTTGTCTCGTCGCTGCAGCAATATCTGCCAGCAGCCGTTCTTTGCTCTCCAGCAGTGAAGGAGGTGAAAAAGTGGGAACTGGCATGTGCATGGGTTTCTGTGGACTGCCGTAGTGCTGAGGCCAAGAGATACACGGATAACCTGGTTTTAGTCCAGAGGAAGAGAAATATTAGTATTCACAAACTCAACAACACCATGCACCTCAATCCAATTATAAATCAATAGAGTTCATTGGCCTGCAAACCCAAATTAAAAAAGACCTTTGCCTTCAGTGGAAAGTATAGTTTCTTGTAATACTACTTCCTTATGTCTTACCAACTAAGGACAGTTATGAATAGATATGTTTGCTAATTGGCTTCAATCTTTGGACAGATGACAAAATAAGACTGTTCCACATAGCATGTTTTAATAAAGACCAAGAAATCAGATTGCATTAATGCCAATGTATGATGGCTTTTAGCACGGAGATTATTAGTAAGTTATTAGACTAGAGATGAGTAAATGAGCAGAAGTCTATTTAATTTTTTGGGGGCCCTAGGCAAATGGTGTACCAGGAGATCTTTTTAAATAAATGCTTATCAAATGGCCACAGCCCTCCACCATCTAGCTTTTAAATGTATTAATCTATTAATAAAGGTTTGGTTTGATATTAGTGGCTGGTTGCATATACATAACCATTATGTTAACTAGTTTCACACGCTGATAGTTACACAAGGGGTCATCAGTCTTATTTTTTTTAATTAAAGTTAGCCCAATCTACCCATTGCTAACTATTTAGTCTAAACTCTTTATGTGCCCGGCTCCTGGTATTAATTAAATTAAAAGATTTTTTTGTTCAGTATTATAACACCCACATAAGCTTTTAGACAACTTGGAAAGAAAAATGTGACTAACAACATATGGATGGATGGGTGTGAGTGAGATATTTGATTAGTTTTTATGCAGTTTATAATGTGCATGTGTGAAATACAGTACTTTTTCCCCCTAATTCAATTCATAAGGCTATATGTGGTGGATATTATATTACAATAACTAACTATACCTAGTTTCACCTACGTCTGTTAACCCACTGACACGTTTTGTACGCTGTTGAATCAAACATCCTGCTGATCAGATCAGTGGTTTCGCGTTGACTGTAATGTGCGCTGACTGGACTGACCATGACTGCGCAATCCTATTGCAGACGCACGAGCGCCACATGAATGGACACACAGGCTACTTTCAAAATGACATGAACAAGTCGAATTACATTTGTGTTTAAATAGCCTATTAGTTGGTGGTTATTAAAAATAAACACAAATAAACACATTATTAAACAAATAACTTACGATATGGTGGACAAGATGTGTTAAAAATGAGCCGCGCATCTGCGTCTCTATGAGTCTCCTCGGGGATCAGCACTTTTGGACTCTGGTTATGTGAAACACTTGTATCATGATCAACGTCCACAGGGAAAGGACGTTTCCTGATTGGAAGCTTGGAGAATGAGGAATCCTTGCCCGCAGCGTCCGTCTGACTGTTGCACTTCGAGCTTGGGGTCACAGGTCTGGTTTGCGTGGGACCCCCGCGCGTCCTGTTTCCCCTGTCACCCACATCGTCAGTTTGAGTAGTCTTTGAAACAGAGCCATCACAAGTGTCCCGTGATTCCTTAGGATGAACTCCGTGCCCCTTAAACTTGTGCGCCGACCTCACCTGTGTTTCTTGGGTTTGTCTTGGGGGACGCTGGTCTCCAGTCTGCGCGCAGATCCCACGCTTGTTGGTAAGATCCAGTGGTGAGCCAGAACGCGCAATGTGATTACTGTCACTCATGGTCATTGTCCTCAGGTAGGCGATATGTGGGTCCTAGACGAATCCTTCTAGCAGCATTATGGCAGATGATTCCGTTGACTTGATCCCAAGTTGAAAGTCACCTCATGTTGCCTAAAGTACCTAAGTAGATCGTTCAGAACAGCTAATTGAAAGACTTAAATTCATAGATTAGTTGTAGCGTTTAAAATAAGAAAATGAGCCGAATTAACATTTTAAATAATAACTCATGCAATCTGTATAATAGGACAATGACAGTTGGTTATGTCATGTGCATTAATAGTTGCCTATTATTATTAGTGTTCACGCGCTGCATTCACGCTGATAACCTCTGTGCTGTGCTGCTGTCTCTATGATCTGAACCAAATTCAGAGTCTCCTTCTCTCATTCACTCTAATTAGGAAGTAGGTGGGTAAGTGAACTGCGGGGTTTTCCCTTTTCTGCGCTCACAAGCCACCATTTGCGACGCGACTACAACGCGCTGCTGAGGTCTGTGCAGATGAGATCAAACGTATAGCATTTTAAGCCACTTTGCATTTGGCAATTAGCCTATACCCGTCTTATAAGACTAAATGTTTCGTTTTGGAGAATTATTGTCGGACGGTAACATGACATTGGTTTCGATTTGATTTTAGTTGTCCTATTTTGTTGGCCTTTGAGTCTATCTATCTTATGTCAGCGTTTGCAATCATCTGTCGGTGCAACTAAATGTGTTGCGAGCTGTTGAATAACAGGTGTGTAGTTTTGCTTTTCTTTCTTTTTTCTTCTTAAACCTGGTGCCTGGTAGGAAGCGGGCTGGATCTCCGGCGGGGATCTCCCTCAGCTGTTGTCGGGAAACCTGCCAGGCCCAGCCTCCTGACTTCCTGTATTTGACCACATTTACATCAGGTCAGCGGATCATTAATGGCTGATGGAACTGATAAAATAGTGTCCTTTTTTGCATTGAAGATTAGATTTATGACTCACTCTGGTGGTGATGACAACAACAACAACAACATTACTGACTTTTCACTATCTCAGCATCTTATCTGGAAAGCACCACCATTTTGATTAGATCCTTACAGATAAACAACCCAGCTAGTTTCTGGTTCCTAAAACCAAACCAAGAACAAAATAAAGCCTGAGAGCTTTCAGAGAATGGAAATTAACATTCTAAAAAAAGAGAACTGTTTTCAAATGTTGGGATGTTTACATGCTAATGTTTGAAATTGAACTGTATAGTACACTGAATATAAACTTAATTCACAGTGCTAAATACGCCTATATTATGAATATGGGTAGAATAAATAGAGTTTGGACTATATATGGCATATCACCATATGACCTGATGGGACTGCCTTATGGAACAGTAAAGTGTCCACTGGATATAGACTTCAAAATCTTAGAATCATTCTGGATGCACAGAGTACGTTCAGCATCATTTGTGCCAGCCAAAATATATATACATCTGAAAAGTGAGCATGTAAAATAATTGTTATAAGATTATTATGTGCATAATAATACCATAAGAACACCAGCAGCATTTTTTGTTTTTGTATTTTTTTTTTACAAACTGTGTGCAGTACTGTATAAAGCAAACATCATTTGCACAGTGCAAAGTTTATTAATGTGCTTTGAATTGTTTATGTGCTACTAAGTTTGTCCACTAGATGTCAAGACCTAAAAGTGAGGTAGAGGTCTTCTCTAGTACTTGGATCCGAAAACCTGACCTGAGATCCGTCTAAAACCTTTGCATATGGTCTCAGGTAATTTAAAATAAATGTGGTTTCCCAAATGGACCCAATCTGACTTGATCCCTTTCTAGAGAATGTATCACAACTTCAGTGATCATCACTTCTGACTGCTCAGTGAGTACATTTACAGTACATGGACACCAATAATCCGATTTTAATCCGATTAAGACACTCTGATTAAGAGTCTACCATGTAAACAGCAATTTTTGATTAATTTAATCCAACTAAAGTCATAATTAAACTAAACAGAAATCAGATTAAGACATGTGGAGTATGCCGATTTTAGTCGCATTATTGAAGTGCATTACAGACATGTAAACACGACAATCAAACTATTACAGTCATGTAGGTTTTTCGCCGTATTTTGTGACAAGATAGTCTACACATACAGTTTGGGGGCATCAGGGCTTGACATAAACTTTTTTGAACTCAAAATTAGGGATTTACCAAATTTATTTCTGTCCACACCGAACAATAATTATTTCTTAGCCACAAATTTTGAATGTGTCAAAACAAGCTAAATGTAGCTGTATACTATACTTTTTATTTAACAAAACATTTCTTTAAAAAAAAAAAACCCAAAGAAAAACAATTGACTTTTAAAAATAATTATTTTCATGTACTAAAAATATGCACAGTAATCTGTCCTCACTCAAGGTCTCTCAGATCACCAGTTAACTACACATAAATGGAGAGTTAATCTCATATTAAAGCAATGTTGTTGTAAAGAATTATAATTAAACCATAAACAAAAATAACGGTAAGCAAAAGAAAGCAGGTGAAAAACATACTAATGTAAGGATGATCACATGGTTAATGCCTATTAATAATCTGTTCAAAGCGAAAGCAACCGGTGCTGCTTACAAAAAGACACATTTGGAGCTCTTGGAAGCAGCAAGACTGTTGGTGCATTAGCTTCACTTTTTGTCTGTTCTATATGAAAGAAAAACCCATCCAAGTTGCGTTCCTGGCACGGTTGCTTCAAGCAAAGAAACAGAAGCGTGCACGAGTTATTACAACCTAACAGACTTTTCCTCCTCCTCACCATTTCTGTTTTTTGTCAAAACTGACAGTTGGAGCAGCGTGGTTAAATATGTTAGCCACACCCATTACCTCAAAATCACGTAATCTGAGAATTTAACTGAAAACGAACAGGAAGTCCATTTTCAGATTTCAATTAAAGATCAAAAGGGCAACCTTTTTTTACTGACATGAACAGATGAAGTGTTAACAACAAAACTAGCAATGTGAGCTAACAAAATCATATGGTTAGTTTTGATTACCTGAGAAAGTAAAAAAAAAAATTCATTTCATTTTTTTGCTGTTTGAAACAACTAACACTCATTTGGGGGATGGTGGCACTCTAGCGGGGGGGGGTCTTTGGAACGACCGCTGGGAAACGCAAACACTCAATTGGGGGATGGTGGGTCTCTAGCAGGGGTGGTCTTTGGAACGACCGCTGGAAAACGCTATGGATGCGATCACCGGGGGCGTTGGTTAGACCAGGGGAGAGCCCACCAAGCCATGCCCGGATAGAGACCACTCTCCCCGGCTTGACCCGCGCCTGGAGGTGGTAGCGCCACCCTGATATTCGCTGACCTGCCGTCGGGTTTACGACAACAGACAGAAAAAGAGGACTTAGTGCAATTTCTGATTTTGCGGTTGAACGAACCAGGGGTCTAAAGAGGGGCCCGTTGCCCCAAAACAAGCGTTCAAACCCGGGCAAACCAAGTGGGCGCTGCTGCCCTGGTCCTACCAAGGACCCAGGCCTCAATGGCCAGCAAAGCTGCCCCAAAACAAGCGTTCAAATCCGGGCAAACCAAGTGCGCGCTGCTGCCCTGGTCCTACCAAGGACCCAGGCCTCAATGGCCAACAAAGCTGCCCCAAAACAAGCGTTCAAATCCGGGCAAACCAAGTGGGCGCTGCTGCCCTGGTCCTACCAAGGACCCAGGCCTCATTGGCCAGCAAAGCTGCCCCAAAACAAGCGTTCAAATCCGGGCAAACCAAGTGCGCGCTGCTGCCCTGGTCCTACCAAGGACCCAGGCCTCAATGGCCAGCAAAGCTGCCCCAAAACAAGCGTTCAAATCCGGGCAAACCAAGTGCGCGCTGCTGCCCTGGTCCTACCAAGGACCCAGGCCTCAATGGCCAACAAAGCTGCCCCAAAACAAGCGTTCAAATCCGGGCAAACCAAGTGCGCGCAGTTGCCCTGGTCCTACCAAGGACCCAGGCCTCAATGGCCAGCAAAGCTGCCCCAAAACAAGCATTCAAATCCGGGCAAACCAAGTGCGCGCTGCTGCCCTGGTCCTACCAAGGACCCAGGCCTCAATGGCCAACAAAGCTGCCCCAAAACAAGCGTTCAAATTCGGGCAAACCAAGTGCGCGCTGTTGCCCTGGTCCTACCAAGGACCCAGGCCTCATTGGCCAGCAAAGCTGCCCCAAAACAAGCGTTCAAATCCGGGCAAACCAAGTGCGCGCTGCTGCCCTGGTCCTACCAAGGACCCAGGCCTCAATGGCCAACAAAGCTGCCCCAAAACAAGCGTTCAAATCCGGGCAAACCAAGTGCGCGCTGTTGCCCTGGTCCTACCAAGGACCCAGGCCTCATTGGCCAGCAAAGCTGCCCCAAAACAAGCGTTCAAATCCGGGCAAGGCCAGTGGACTGAACACCATGGGAGTCAGGGGGTCCACGGGAGTCAAGGGTCCATGGCTGAGCAGCTAACCCGTCTCCCAGCGTCCGTAACCCCGCAGCAAACACGAGACCTCATCGCTGACGGAGGCTAGAACGACGTGCGGCTGGTGCCCCATACACGAGCCCAAGGCCGGTGGTGACCCATTCACAAACCCAAAGACCGATTGGGCCACCAGCGGTACGTCTTGGCCAGTTGGGTCACCAGCAGCACGTCTGTCTTATCCGTGCGGTTTGGAGGAGTTAGTGTCCCCGAGCTTAATAGTGGGGTGCCCAGGCACTGCTGGTGATTAGGTGCAAATCTGGAGGGTCTTTCGGAACCAGCGCTTGCCCCCGGAGAGTGTGTGTACCTCGGGCATTGCGCACAGGGCACAGGCCCCCCCCACCGCTGGATGCCAGAGTCTCCGGGCCAGGGGGGGGAGCTGGGCTGGAAGTGCCATCCCCGAAAGGGTGTGTGTACCTCGGGCATTGCGCACCGGGCACGGGGGCCCCCCACCGCTGGATGCCAGAGTCTCCGGGCCAGGGGGGGGGGGGAGCTGGGCTGGGAGTGCCATCCCCGAAAGGGTGTGTGTACCTCAGGCATTGCGCGCCGGGCAAGGGGCCCCCCCACTGCTGGATGCCAGAGTCTCCGGGCCAGGGGGGGGGAGCTGGGCTGGGAGTGCCATCCCCGAAAGGGTGTGTGTACCTCGGGCATTGCGCGCCGGGCACGGGGGCCCCCCACTGCTGGATGCCAGAGTCTCCGGGCCAGGGGGGGGAGCTGGGCTGGGAGTGACATCCCTGAAAGGGTGTGTGTACCTCGGGCATTGCGCACAGGGCACAGGCCCCCCCACTGCTGGATGCCAGAGTCTCCGGGCCAGGGGGGGGAGCTGGGCTGGGAGTGCCATCCCCGAAAGGGTGTGTGTACCTCGGGCATTGCGCACAGGGCACAGGCCCCCCCCACCGCTGGATGCCAGAGGCCCCATCAATGGTTCACCAGCGGCTCCATCAATGGTTCACCAGCGGCACATCTTTACGCATCTAGCGCCAAAGGTCCAACAGGAAAACGTTATGCCTGGCGCTCACCGGGGCGTTGGTTAGACCCAGGCCCGAGCCCACCAAACCATGCCCGACGGGAGACCACCTTTCCCGGCCTACTTGTCGGGACGTCCCTCGCCTGGAGGTTTTTGCCCGACACCCACAATCTCTGACCTGCCATCAGGGTTTCGGGGAAGGCGAAGATTAATGGACTTAGTCTCTGACAGTCCAGTCGCCAGACCCCACGGTGACTGATCGATAGGAGCTAGTGTGGCGCCCCAGGGGCTAGGCCCCCACCCAGGCCCCCTAAAGCACCAATGGGGTCGGCCTCTATGGGTGTGGCAGATCCTCCCCGTCCTGGGCGCTCTATCAGGGAGGCGTGGGGGTGTCCCTCCGCACACAGCGCCCCCCCTTCCCGCCCCGATCTGTGGGTAAAGGACCCAGATGGCCCGTTTGGCTAAATGACCCAGAGCTTGTCTGCTGCTCAGCCCACCCGCCAGCCCGCCCCCCTGGACTCCGTTTCCCCCGCGCCGATACTCGGCCCGTGCCCCCGCCCCACGCCCCTCGCCCTGCGAGGGCTGGGGGATGTTCGGTGGGTTCGGTCGAGTCACCCGGCGTGGTGAATCGAGGCCCCAGGGACAGCGTAGGGAACGAGCTGGTGTAGGCTTCGATTCTACCCCCGCCCGAGTGTGTGCGTCTGCATCCCATCCGTCCGCCCGCAACGCCGCCCACCCCCTGGGTTTATCCTTGCTGGCTCCCGGCTGACCCCCACCCCGCCTACCCTGCTCCCGGGGGGAGTGAGGGTGGTTGGTTGGGAGGGGAAGCTAGTGGACTCCGGCGAGGTGAAACGTGCCAGGGTCAGTGGTGCCGGGGTTACGGGCTGTCTGGACCCCCCTTTCGATGGTTGGTGCGTATCCCATGTTGGTTGTAGCAGGTCACAAAAGCTCCCGCGGCAGGCGCGTGTGGAGCTGTCCCCCCCCCAAAAAACGGCGCATGTTCGATGGGGCTCAAACAATCCTCATTTTGGGGTGGAAAAAGTGAACGAGAAAGGCTGTGGAAAAGCTCCCGCTGGCCAGAACAGCAAAATGAAGGGGGGATAGGGAGTGAGGTGGGACACCCCTTCCCCAACTCGAGTCGTAACAAGAGAGAGAGGTGTCGAACTGCTGACTGGGGCAACGATGAAGGGGCGGTGGGGTGCATTGTTTAACGGGACACCCCCCCTCTGGTTCCTTTGAAAAGGGGGGAAGGGAGTGAGGTGGACACCCCTCTCCCCCCTACTTGAGAGTCGTAACAAAAGAAGGCCTGAACCGTAGGATCCCCGTAGGGCATCGGCTTACACCCCCTGGTGCGGGGGGGTGTCCTTCCCCTTTAAGAAACACGGGTACACCAACGTCATGACGCAGAAGTGGACGCCGCCTCCGCCCGCTTATCAACCGCCGCACGTGGCGTGTGGGCCCCTTTCCCCCTCTGCATTGGCTCCAGCACGGTCATGGCTGAATGTATCCTAT